AGGAGTTAGGTACCAAAGTGCCATTTATGCTTTTAAGATCTATTCCTAAGGGCCAGATTTTCAAAGTTATTTATTTAAATGGGAGTTACTCACCTCACTTGCTTTCTTTTGCTAAACTGCATTGCATGTCTGTTTGCACCTTTAAGCATGTAAACACCTTTCTAAATCTGGCTCGATGTCACATTTGAAAATGGGGTTTAGGCTACTAAATCATGTAGGTATCTGGGCAATTTTACCTAAAATATGTAAAAAGAGTGATTTCCATATAGATTAAAATAATGCACCAAACACTTTCATTTTCTTTATTTTCAATCGATACTGTATGAATACAAAGTTTCTAGAAAGCTACAAAAATTCTACCACTTTATCAAGAAGGCATCAAAATGTGTCACGTTGCAAAGACATGAGAACACCTGCAGTAACTGACACAAAAATAGCATTTTTAGAGTGATGAAATAATTGCACTTAACTGTCATGGATATTAAAGTTGTCACACATATGTACCGCAAAAGCTAGAATACATTTTTTTTTACAAAGCACTTTATAAAAAAATTCTCTGCACACAAAACCTATAATTTTCATATTACTATCGTACTAAAGATAAAGTCACTTTAAAGCCAACACTTAAAACATTTTTAAACAAAAAAGGTACCAGTACCTACACACAGACAATAACAAATACAAGATTACTGTACTGCCAAGAGGTTTGACTGAAACTCCTTTTGAAAGCTTCTGCAAATATGTTAAAACATTTTTTTAGAACATTCACTTTTAGCAGAGCTTTCCCTCCCCGTCTAATCAAGAGGTACTTTTTCATCAAAAGGCAGATTCTACATCAAAAGTTACCAGCAGCAGTACAATATTAAAGTAACCACTGACCATATATGAATATGCTTAAGTCACAAACCCAGTTTATACACATTACACAAATAAACAAAGTGAGAATTCCATTAAGTCATTTACAAATGTGAACAAATGCACATGGCAAATAAAACACAACTCCCCCCCCAAAAAAGAACAAACACCAACAAAACCACAAAAAAACCCTCAAACAAACCCTAAAACTGTTTTACATAAAATGTATTGATATTGAAGAATTAAAGGCTATTCGGGTTTTCAATGTTATAAAATTCTTTTATCTTTTTTTTTTTTCAGGCACATATTGTATTTTTTTGTCTGCAGTCATGAGCCTGAAGCAAAGAGGCTCATAAAACAAAAAACAAAACAAAACATCCACAACACCCTCCACAAACGTTTTGTAAGGAGGTAACAGGGACACATCTTTTGTCAGTTGAGTGCATGTAAGAGTTAATTTACCCAGTAAAACTAATCGAATGATCTCAGCAAGCTTGACCTGAAAAGTTAGAGACCTCTCCCTAGTGTTTTTTGTACTTTGAATTAGTTAGCCTCGATCTTTTCAGAAGGTTAAAAAAATCTTATAATGAAAGGTAGAGGGAAAAGTATCCTGAGAAACTGGGATCTGCTACCATGTATGTTGAGTGACTGGATACAACGTATATTAATGTGGGTCATGTTGAATATTATAACAAACATTCTTAGGTGTGAATGAGCAAGTAAAACTTGATTGACAGGTCTAGGAATTAGAATGGGAAAATAAACAGAAATGGATCAACTTGTTAAATGTTATACCTGACATCTATCTGTCAGTGACTTGCATTTTAAGTTAATACACATTCTTACATTAAGATCATATAAAGCAGGGAGTTTACTGAGAATGGAGCTATTGCCCAATTGAATCACTTTCAGAATGGGAAAGTGGAGAAACAAGCGTAAGATGTGTAACTTCTTCAAAATAGTGGTACAGTACCTAAATAAACCAGTTTGGAATTCAAGTAAGTAAAACTACATTTGTTAGTAGTAATTTTTTAAACTGCCAAAAATGGTACCATTATTCTTATCTAAACTTTTGTATAATGAATCAGTAAATAATACAATTACATTGACTTTGCAATAAACTATTCATCACAATTGTTATCAAATGTTTCTCCCAGCAGTTATATTTAATAACTGTAAACACATGCTGTACTTATGGGGCCAAATCCTCTTTACCTTATCCCAGACTCATTGAATTCAACAGGGCTCTATGTGAGGAAGGTAAATGGGATTTAGACCTTGGAGGAATAAAAAAAAATAGTATTTTATAGACAGGGATCTTGAATTATCACAATATTTACTATATAGTGTCACAATATTTTATATAAAAAGTAAATCTTAAGTTTTCATCACATATTCATATAAAATCACATTGAAACTGTATTCACAACTATATAATTCATTTGCCAGCTTTTGGTTTGGCTGATATTTGTTCTTTTTCATCTTTTTTTAATTTTGCTCCTCTTCCTGTCAATTTCATTTCTAGTGTGCAGTATTGCCCCAATTCACACAACATGTCAAAAGCAGACATTATTTAAAGGGGCTGCCTTCCCTGCACTGAGATAGTGCTTGGGGAAAAAAAAAAGTTTGGAAAGGTGCTGCACGCAGTTTTCCATACAGCACTCTCAACTAACAGTGCTCATGCTTAACATTTTCATGCTAATAAGCACATGTCAAATTACATTTACTTTCTAATTTACTTTCTGCACTTTCATCTCAAATGTTATGATTCTGTCTTTCAGAATACTTGACTTTGTAAACAAAATAAGTGCAAAATTAGGATACAGAAGAAACCTTCACATATACTGAAATATTACCAGAATAAAATAATAAAGTCACACTTATTCACTTGTTTGAAATTCTGTCATTTATATGGGCGTTACATTATTCAGATGCAAGACTGGATGAAAAGATGAAAAAAGTGAATCATTAACCATTTTTATATTATACACAAATCAATTGCCGGATTGCAATGCTGCAAAACTAAGGGTACATCTACACAGCAACATTATTTTGAAATAACTAGCGTTATTTCAAAATAACTTAGTCCATGTCTACACAGCAGGCAGTTATTTCAAAATAATGTCAAAATACTGTCAAGCTGGAGTACTTCTTACTCCGACTCCTGTAACCCTCATTGTATGAGAAGTAAGGGAAGTCGGAGGAAGAGTGCTCTATTTCGAAATAAGTGCTGTCTAGATGCTCCCAATTTCAAAACAAGCTATTTCGAAATAAGCTACGCAATTGATGTAGCTCAATTTGCACAGCTTATTTTGAGTTAAGCCCTGCTGTATAGACACACCCTAAGTCAAACAGGTAAATGGCAAGTAAATTATTTTCCAGCACGATGCAGTCTCGTGATTTGCAAAATCACATTAGCATAAATGATGCTCTTTCATGAATGGAGGCCTGTAGTTTTGACTTATTCCAATAAACCAAAGGCATTATGGTGATCACTTAATATTTTTGGTCTCTCTACAAATTATCGTTATTATGACAGCACTTTTCTAAGCTGGAATTTCAAACCAAAGGCACTTTCATGCTAGAGTGCAGAAGAGTCACAAATAGTTAAGTATTTGGTCATGAAATTTAAAAAGGCAGCATTATTAGTACAAATCACTTTTCACAGAAAAAGTATTATGTTGTAACCTTTGATTTTGGTATAGACATTTCATTGTGTAGTAATGGGACTGATTTATGCTGAAAGTTTGTTTAGACCACGTAGTCAAAGAGCTTCTCCATGGAGGGGGATTTTTTTCTTTAGAAAACGGAACCAATTAATAAAACAACATATAAAATTGATGCAAGAGGCTAAAGGTATTTCTAATACAACACTAAGGCACTGCATATTGTAATGCTTTGGCAGCTCTGAATTAAAAAGTTCCTAGAAAAAGTTAACAGTAACAAGATACATTCTTCCAGCTTACAAAAGAGCTCACAGTTTACAGGCAGCCTTTTGGACTATACACTCCACGATATACATTTGAAGGACTTAAGGCTTTTAAGAATGAACATGTGCAGGGTTTAGATCATTTACATAAAAGTGTAAAGTAAAGACAATGCAAATCTTTTCCCTAATATTACAAATGTGAACACCAATAAACACTGTGATTTTTATACTCTATTGTTATGATATATGTAATATGCCAGATTGTATAAAAATCTGTACCTGGTTTTGCAAATTGAATTTTATATTTTATACTCCACACAGAATTTTTTAATAAAAAAACCATCAAAACCATAATTCAGAAACCTAAATAAGAGAGAACTTTAAAACAAAACAAAAGAAGTAATTTGAATTGTAACACCAAGTGCTTAGAATAAAGGGCTACCATTAGGCTGTACAATGCAGTGCTTTTCTTGATGTGATTGTTAGTGTTATAAATGTATTAGGGAACCTTATGGTGGACATCAAATTTTATGTTTCGCTGAATATAAACAATTAAAAGATTCATCAGCTCTAATATCCGCATGTTGATAATATGACGGCTAGACATCACAACAATCACCTACCTTTTATAGTTAGACCAGCAGTTTTATAGCCTAAGGACTTTCAAGCACACCTCCTGTCCCCCCCGCCCCATGCTGGTCTCCTTCTCCAATGTAACACAATGAAAGGCAAGCAAAACAACCAATGATTTGCTGCACATTATAAATACTGATTGCTCTTCCAGATGGTATATTGACTCAGAATATTTATCTATATTTGTGTTGCTATAGCCAAGGGAACTTTTTAGATGACATTGTCATAAAAATTGCAACCAGTATATTACATCGGGACAAATCCAGGCTTCTAATTGAATACAGGCATGCACCTGTAAAATACAGCTGAGAGGGGAACGGTTGAAAACATTTCTGTGCCCTGCTGATGACTCCCCAAGACTTCCTGGGTCCCTGATAAATATGACTTTTGGATGTTTGCAGCTCCCATTCATCTTACCTTGTAACCTACGTTTGATGTGCCCTGTTAAGATCTGAGGTTCCAAATGGACTGCATTGTTTTAGCCAAGTTATTTCCCAGAATAACCCACTTGTCCTCTCAATACATTTAAAATTAAGGTTGCATGGGGCAGTGGAAAGGCGGTGGTTGAACAGATGGCAGAGGAGATGCATCAGACTAATACTAAGGGAAGCCTATGCCGACAAGAATCAGAAAACATGTGCAACCTAGAAAACCATTCACACCCGTGACTACATTTTTAATCCTTATTAATATTAAAATATTTCACTTGATATCCAAATCTTCTCTGAATGGACTACTTTTCTGTTTATTAACCACAGGGATGAATACTGCACATCTGTATATTTTGGATATGAAAGGCGACCAAACCTCAAGTGGTATTAATGGGTGCATCCTATGTACCCTGCCTCCAAGTACTAAATGTACCATGATTGGAGACATAACTGGGGTAACTTATGTAGTATGAGAAAGGGGCGGACATAAAATTTCAAATCTTTTTTGCCTGATGATGGTTGTGATTTTCTAGCATCCCTATGACATTAAAGCTGACGAGTCTTTTACTGGCCTACGTAGTCTTTTCTCAACCACATTATTTTTTCTAGCATTCAGCATACAGATTATTTGCAATGCAGTAATAATGTCAATTGTTTCACCCCTAAGTTTGTTAATTTTGGCATTGCAAATTTTTCACTCAACAGAAAATATAGTTGTCCACATAAAATATAACTGCACACACAAGGCTACATACAATGAAAGTCTAAAATTTCAGTATTTACCTACTTATTGCAAAATGAGCCATCAGTTTTTCATTAAATAATCAAATTTCCATATTAGTACAACACAATTTTGTATTTTTAAAAATATACATAACATAGTTAGTATAAGGGATGATATTCTCTTTCTCTGCAATACCTGTTGGAAAGTTTAATGAATTATAAATTAAAAGATTAGTTTTAACACTGAGAAAAAAAATACAAAATTTGCCTAATTTTAGGAGCTGCTTGTTTTTATATCAGGCATTTCTTAAGGCTACATTTATCATTTGGTTTCAAAAAGAAAAAAAATGTTTCATTTTAAAAAATAATTTAGTGAATTACATTCGTCCGTATCTTCCACTCCGATTAGTTACAAAGATAATTCTATAAAGATTATTAACTTTGTGTACTAAGTTATAGTTATAGTTAAAGATTCATTTCAATTTCACTTGCATTGTAAAATAAGTATTTTATTTTGGAAAGAAACAAAACAAAACCCTAAATAAATTCTTTTAAATGCTGTAAATTTTCCCCATGGCAAATGCTCTGTCTTTCATTTTTCTATCACAATTAAAAATAAGCCTCCACAGACAGAGGCATTAGGTTCTTAAATACAGTCTTCCCGAAGTACTGTTGTTAACAAATTTGAAGAACACTTAGTTTTAGAAAGAATTTTTTACAACTGTACCAGAATTTCACAGCTACAATTATATATGAACACATTAAAAATGACTTCACTAAAACAGGATTTAGAAAAATGTGGGTGAAAGCTAGGCCAGAGGCACTGCCACGTAGTGTTGAGGTTTACAGTCTATGTTTTTGATAAAGAAGTGTAATGAAGTGTATATATAAATAACTACTCAGTCCTTTACAAGCCTGTAGATGTGATGTTGTGCTCCGTGTTCACTGTTCGAAACTTCAAATACACAAGCCATGCAGAGTAGGGTTTCTTGTGTATCTCTGTTTGTTACAACCTATTGGTGGGGGGAAAATATAGACAGCAGTGTTATAAACTTGGAAAATTGGATTTGCACCAAAAGGTACTGCAGGCTTGAAAGGAGAAGAAAATAAAATTGTTATTGTGTGTTTTTCAAACTTTAAATAGCTGAACCTCACTTTAGGAAAATTAAATTAATTATACCCTTTCCAAAATATGTTGTTAAAAGCCTGCCCCATTTTAGATCTTCATACTGTGCTACTCTTCTCCTTTCTTATAATCATTGATAAGCATTGAAATAATTAACAATGTTGACATTTCAAGTGTCACCACTGGCAACTGAGTTTCCACCCATTGAAATGAACTGGACACTTAATACCACTGAGCTTGTGTTTCAGGCTCTCTGCAAATTAAGGCAAACATCGCAGGATCATTCATACTAGGGTCCGGTATTGAGGGGCTTCTTTGCAATCATAACAGCTAGACACCTACTTAAAAATATATGGAAAATATATGAGACTGCTCATGCTCTCAACCCAGCTAGGCTTTTGTATCTTGCTACATGACTGAGACCCCACTTTTGGGAAACAGTGTTGCAGCCTTATTTCTTGGTAGTAGACTCTTGCTTTTACTCAGGTTGAATAGTACCTAACTCCATTAATAGTTCTACTGAAGTCAATAGGACTACTTGGCCTTGAGTCAGTAAGGGCTTCAGTGTTTTGTTCTTAATTTCCAACTTAAACTAGTTCTGCTAAAACAGAACACATTTTAGACTTGATCAGTAAAGAATAATGAATGCTTACCAACAAAATTGTAAAATTTTCCAATACACTGTTCATCATATATTTTTCTGGTAAATGCTTGAGCTTGTGTATGAAGTTGATCATATATTCACACATTGGTGACCGGTTTATTCTATATACAAACCGTCCATTCTCAAACCTTGCATATTCTGTCTAAATAGAAAATGAAAAACATTTTAAGAGTATTTATGCACAAACCTATTTCTACAGTGATCAACAGAGGTAATACAAAATGTTAGGATGGTTCGCTTTGTTAGTTTGGAAACAACAACATATATTAAGTGGAATTGTTGATCTGAAACGCTAATCTTTTCAGCAAGTCTCCTTCCATAGACTTATTCAGAAAGTTATATATCTAGGCTACGTCTACACTGGCCCCTTCTTCGGAAGGGGCATGCTAATTTTGAACTTGGGAAGAGGGAAATCCGCGGGGGATTTAAATATCCCCCGCGGGATTTAAATAAACATGGCCGCCGCTTTTTTTCCGGCTTGGGGAAAAGTCCTTTTCTGGAGGATCTCTTATTCCTACTTCAAAGTCCAAGGAAAGTCCAAGGACTTTGATGTAGGAATAAGAGATCCTCCGGAAAAGAGCTTTATTCCGGAGGATCACGCCAGTCTAGACGCTTTTTTCCGGCTTAAAAGCGGCAGCCATGTTTATTTAAATCCCGCGGGGGATATTTAAATCCCCCGCGGATTTCCCTCTTCCCAAGTTCAAAATTAGCATGCCCCTTCCGAAGAAGGGGCCAGTGTAGACGTAGCCTAGGTGTGTAATCTTGGTTTATTTCCAAGTTTATAATTTGAATTCACAGGGGATAAGGGGATAAGCTCTCATGTGAGTATAAATGTACAGAGAAAGAAACTTAACAGCATTGGCAGCACAGTAACACCATCCAGCAGTGCATCCTACCTCTACTTTTTCTACTACTTGCTTTCCAAATGAACAGACTTTGGTGGAACAAGTGATTGTCATGTTTTCTGAGCTCTCATATTGGCTAGTTACTCCATAAAATGCTCCTGTATCATCTTGAATGTTGCAGTTTAAGTCAGCCTGTGGAGAAAAGTAAGAGATATTGCATATTATCTCTGTCATTTAGCAGGGTCATAGTGATGAGCAGCTGGCCACTTTTGCCCTACCAAAGGTGGAGAAAGAGGCAAGTCTATAAACATAACAGCCACATAGTTAAAGAGAGTGAGAAAAAAAGTCAGGTGGTTCTTTTTTAATAAGTAAAAATACTTTTCTTTCATGGATTTTAAATCAATGTAACAGTAAAAACCTTACGGAAGCGATTTCTTTAAACTTTAAGCAGCAAAACAATTGCAAATGTATTATTGAAAGACCCATTGTTCCTCCTAACTATAGGCCAACTAATTGTTCATGTGGATACAGATAATTAACCAAAGTGAATGGGAGTGGCATTTGTCATAATGACCCATGGACCTCAAGTCAGGGCCTGCAAGATGTATGCAAACAGTCACTCTGCAGCCTTCCAGCTGATAGCTTGCTGGCAACAGATTACCAGAGGAACATAAAACCCAATCCATGTGCAAGCATCTGATTCTTTAATCCAATTGGTGGATTCCCAGCAAACTGACTGGCCCTACTGAAGCTAGCTCTATAAACAACTATAGCTTGCTCTGGTTTTGTGCTTTCCACTTCCTACTATCAGCTCCTGCTTTCCCAGCTTGACATATCAACTTAGCTTATCTCTTGGCATCTTATTTGTGGTTCCTCTCCTGCTTCTGGCTTTCAAGTATGTTGACTCCACCATGGCAGCTGGTATGGACCTCAGTAACCACGCGGGACCAAGTCCAGTGCAAGAAGGATGGACCCAGCAACACATCTATGTCCACCAGAGGCACTGGACTTGCCCAAATGGACCTTTTGCTTCTAGGTGAAAGGTCAAGCATGGCAGGCTCAAACAGCACATCTGACTTACAACTATGAGCAGGTGAAGGCCCAAAGCTGTGAACATAGTCTACAGCATCTTGCCCAAACAGGGGCCTGTAATACCTTTGCTCAAGCAGCTTGATGGGAATCATTGGTGGTTCTAGGGATTCATGAACCAACACCACTGTCTGTTTCTTATGTGGTTCCAAATCTATTCCTCTGACTTGGCCATGGTGGCCTTTGCAATCAGTCTGCTGACTGAAGACTTATTGCACTCAGCACCCCCCATGTTAAAAAGGCTATAGCTCAGTGCTGTCCAATGGGGAAGCCTTTCTCCAATAAATGTCAAACACAAAGACCTGCACTGAACCTGTGTAGCCAGACAGGAACCCCTCTTGTAACATCCATTTTTGCTTGCCTGGATATGCAGGCTCAGTGACCGTGAATGGCTGTAAACAGAGATATGCCAATTGCTGACCAAGAGGCTGCTGAGGAATGCCCTTGACTAAATCCCATATTGATACGAACACACAGCCGTCCACGGGGGGAGGAATCTCCCGCCCAGCAAAGAATATCCGGCACTCCTAATTTAGCTATCTTCCTCTCTTACAAGTGTAAATTATTTGAAACTCCCTTGTAAGAACTGGCGCCACAAAACGGACCAGTACAATTCAGCATCTTAGATAAGAAAGGGTATGTCTACACTACCCTCCTATTTCGAAATAGGAGGGTAATGTAGGCATACCGCAATTGCAAATGAAGCCCGGGAAATTGTGTAGACATACCCAAAGAGGATATGGGCCCCCAAGGGTATAAAGATGAGTCCAGCAGCACATTTACTCTGAGTGTCAATCTACCATCTATCTGCTGGTTGGGTTAGGTGTTTGACCTCCTGAGGTTCCATGGGGACGCCCACCTCGTATTCGTCTTTCCTAGGAATTGAGGGACCGGCCCTGGCTTGACCCGCTGGAGTCGAGAGGCACAGAAGGGGGTAAAACTTGTACCTGGATGTGGTCCTTTGTCTTAAGTGTACACATAGACTTAGAGCTCTTTAAAGATTAAGCTGTCACTTGGTACCATTATTTCTATTTTCTATCGTTATTTTCTTTGTAACCATTTTTAAGATCTATATTTGCTAGCAGTTAAGAAATAGAGCAATAGCCATTGTAACCATAAGATCTGTATTTGCTAGCAGTTAAGAAATAGAGCAATAGCCATTGTAACCATATGCTTTTATAAGTCTTTTTAATAAACCTGTAACTGTTTAAGTTTTTAACCTGACTCCTTCAGTTGCTGTAACAGAACCAAGCACAGTTTAAAAGAACTTCAGCGGGTCATAAGGGACAGGTATAGGAGGAGCTTGGGCGTTTGGATCATGTCACTCCCAGGTGACAGATCCGTTGGGCATCTCTCAGTCTTCCCTAGACTGCCCGCTGCGAAGGGATCCTGTATCCTAGCAGCTAAAATCTGAGGTGTAATAAGCTCTTCCTATAAACAGGGGTGTCTGTCAGCCTGTTGGCTGCCCTCTGCAACAGGACCCCGGTCCTAGCGGTAAAGGCACGGACGTTAAACCTTTTCTCAGTAACACACACACACACACACGCGCTGCCCTGACCGTCAGCTGACAGCCTGAACAACAGGGCTAAGGTGCAGTGGTCTCCTATGCAGTGCACTTCTACCACTTCATGACAGGTACAGAGTAGAACATAAATAGGTCACTTTCCTGTCAGAATTCTGGTAACAGTGTGGCCAGTGTTCTATCATGCAAGCAAGGTAGTAACAAACTTCAACAGGTCTTTATTTAACAAAAGTGAAACCTCTTTACAAAGCTGCTGTGCTCCCCTCTGTAGCACTCACTCAGGCCAGGCTCATCTCCTCCCCCCTCCTTCCTGTTTCCTGTGCTTCCAGATTCCCAACAGCCAGTGCTCCCAATTCTAATAATTACAAGCAGCATCTAAAACACTACATTCCCTCCTCTCTTAAGAAGCTCTCCCAATTATAAAATAAACATTGTTGTTCTAACCACAGCAACAAATATGGAACAAGACACTATACTGTTGGCAGAAATATTACACTGAAAACATTGCAAATACTACATAACATCATCTCTATGATTTTAAGAGGAGATGTGAATTTATGGTCCCCTTTGTGTAAAATTCATCCACACTCAAACTTCGGTTCCTTAGCACCCCGCCATTTGCCTGTGAAAGCTTTATACTTTGCTTGCTTCTGTTCAACTGTTTTTCTCACAGCATCCTCATTTGGTGCATCAGATCTTGTCTTTAACAATCCAGCAATGTTCAGTTTAGTATTCATCTGTTTTCCATGCAGTAACTCTGCGGGTGATCTTTGCGTGTGGAATGTCGTGTAGCCCTGTAAGCTTGCAAGAAATCAGTAGTGAAGGTTATCCATGAGTGTCCTTCCAGTTTAGCCGTTTGCAAACTCTCTTTCAAACTTCTGTTAAACCTTTCGATTTCCCCATTGGCTTGAGGGAAATACAGGGACGATCTTCTATGTAAAATGTTTCTCTCTGCTAGAAAAGTTTCAAATTCCACCGGAAGTAAATTGACTACCATTATCTGAAACAGTTCTTTGGGGATATCTTCCCTGCTAAAAACTGTAGAGAGGAACTTAATTACTGTAGCAGAAGAAATATGCAATGTAAACGCCACTTCAGGCCATTTACTGAAATAGTCTATTAAAGTGATGGCATAACGACAGTCAATTGGAGCAGTATCAAAGGGTCCTACGATGTCAATCGCAACTTTTTCCCATGGAGAATCCAGAAGAGGAACAGGCTGTAATGGTGGGATACATGTCACTGCTGTCTTATCATGCATTTGGCAAGTGACACGGGATTTTATGATTGCTTCAGTGTGGGAGTCCATCCCTGGCCACCAATACAGATCTCGTAGTCGTTGTTTGGTTCTGACAATACCTTGATGAGTATCGTGTGCCAGGTGTATGAGTTTTGGCTGTAATTCTTCTGGCACAAGTAGCCGGTGCGTACCTCGTAGCACACAGCCATCAAGCAAAGAAAGTTCATCCCGAATTCTAAAATAAGGCAGCAAACCTGGGTCAAGGTTTTTAGGGTTACTGGGCCATCTCTTTGTCAGAAATTCCTGTAGCGTTTGTTGAATTGGACATGCTGAACAAGCAGCTTGGAATTGCTCTTGTTACTGCAGTAAGAGTGCTTGTAATAAGCGCAACTGCTTCATCCTCATCCTCCGGTGGACCATCTGGTGAAGACAAAGGCAGGCGAGAAAGGCAATCAGCTATCACATTTTGGTTTCCAGGCTTATATTCCAGTTCATAATTGAAAGAGAGTAGTCTTGCAGACCATCTAGCAACGATTCCCTGCTCTTCCCAGTCCTTTTGTGGTTAGCAAAGTTGTGAAAGGGCTGTGGTCTGTGCGCAGCTTGAACATGCAGCCCCACAGGTAAGTTCTCCATTTTTCAGTAGCCCAGACACAAGCAAGTGCTTCTTTTTCAACTGTAGAATATTTTCTCTCAGCATCACTCAGTGTCCTTGAAGCAAATGCAACAGTCCTCTCTG